AGGAAATATGAATATTCATATCGAAGAAAATGCAGCCACTGCGCACAGATGACGACAGGAATGTGCAATGCAGATATAGCTGACGTGTGCTCACGCGTGAGAGGACATTTGCTGCAATGACAGGAAAGAATGGTCAGCTACAGTTATTATCATTGTCATTTTATGAACAAACAGCAAATTGCGAACGGTTATCCTTCGCTTGCGTAACAAGAATCGTAACAAAATAATCGAAACGTCGCATTCTATGAAACGAGAGGATATACATAAGACAATTCGTACATTAAATTCACACGCGTTAGCCAATGATTCGCGATTTTTTTTCGTCGACTGACCTTATTTGCGATATGTTCTGCGAAAGAGAGATTGCAAAGTTCTCCTTGGTTGTCTTTTAGACGTATTTGTTATGGTTTCTAAATCCTTGAATATCTCTTTAGACTCCAGGCAATTATTATTTTATTGTTACTCTGCTCTGAGAAACATTTTTCTTCAGATAAAAAAATTTTTTTTTAATTTCTATATAAATCAAATTTTTCAGAATTTTTATATAATTTTATAACCTTTTAGAAAATTTCTCCGATTCTTTTATATGAATTGAAACTTTTCAAAAATGCTCTGAAAAAGCCTACATTTTTCTATAATTCTTTATATACCTGTGAGTTCTGAAATATTGTAAGATTTCTCATTCAATCCGAAGAAATCGGATAAAGAATATTTTGTCAGAAATCTCTTCATGAATTTAAAATTTAAAAAATTCTTAAAACTAAGAGATGAAACGAGAATTTCTTTATTTGTTCAGAATTCTTTTAGAATCATTTATGAATTCTCTCGAATTCTTTCTTGATTTCCTGCATTCCCTTCGAAGTTTCTTCATGCGATCCTTTCTAACTTCTTTAGAGTGAAATCCCACTCTAAGAAATGAAAATCGAGCCAGTCTTAAAAAATAGTGATTCAATTTTCAACTTTTAAGACCAGTTCCACCAATGTAAGATTAACTTTAATCTCAATCCAATTTACCGTTCTGATTTATCTAATTCTTATGCCCGTTTCTACCAATGTAGTTAAATTTTAATCTTGGTTTAATTAACTCTTCATCTTTTCCCAGTTCTAAGAATTAAATAAGGACGAAGAGTTAAGATGAACCCCGAGATTAAAGTTAATTTACATTGGTAGAAATGGGCATTGAAGCTAGAAAAAGACGGAGACATAATCGAGATTAAAACCACATCGGTAGAAAACGGGCGTAAGAGTGAGAGTTGACTCGTCAGAGCTCTGAGCTTCAGAGATTTTCGCTCTAAAAGTTTCAGAAAGTTAAGCATCTATTTTTTTTTTTAAATTAAGCTGAATATTTTCCAGCAGAGATTCCTCTCGATTGCGGGATATCACGCACGGCAATAAATGTCGGAACGATAGACGGCGCGCGCTCGCGACAATTGTTCACGAAAGTAGGACGACGACGTTGGTCACGCTCGATGGTTCTTGGTGCAGGAGTGCAGCGGTAATTATTCGCGCGTATTTATTCGCTTGCGGTAGAATCCCGTTCGATATCGGGGATCGGCGATCCTTGAATTACGACGATGTCGGAAGCAAAACACTTACGACGCATTTTCGCGCGCCAAATTGCGAGAATTCGCGAAATCCCGATCACGTGCACGCGAACGAGGGAAGAGGACAGAGCGACGCACGATTCGCCGCGCGATATTTAATCCAGAGTGCGAATTAAATCATCTCTCGCGTGCGTTGAAGCGTGATATGGTAATTTTACACGTTAACTCGGAGGTCGCGAATCGAGCGTTTCCGGATTAATTCACCGAGCGTCGTCTAAGAATCGTACCGTCCGGAGAATTCTAAATGGACTCTAAAAATTTCAGACTGAGGTTCTCAGAGCGTGTTAAGTCAGTTTCGGAGCCCGGACTGAGACTTCGCGAGAAGTTTATTATTAATTAAGAATTTTTGACAGTTAATATTGAGAAAATATAAAAAAAAGCGAGTAACTCTGAAGATCTATTGAATCATTCAAAGTCGAGCTATTTATATATACGCTTGTCTCCAGCGTTTGAATGTTTGACGATTTATATATCTCTGGGGTTTATATAAAGATTAATGAAATTCAAGGAAGATTCCAATGAATGGAATATGAGGTTGAATCATCAACAAAGTATCGATTCGAGGTCAAAAGATTAATAATTCAAGCTTCAAAATTAAGATTAATAATTCACCAAAAATATCAATTTGAGTTCAAGATTAATAATTCAGGACTAAAAATCAAGATTAATAATTCAACAAAAGCATCAATATTTGAGATTAAGATTAATAACTTAATTTTGTATTTAAGGTGTTTAATATCTACTTAAATTATAATACCAAATTATATTCAATTTGTGTTATTTTTAAAGTCGTCACTGTTCTCTTTCAATACGTTAATTTAACTGAAAATTAATGGAATTAATGGAGTTAAACAGTTTAATTCGAGAAAATGTATTACATTTTACTTTTAAATCCAATTTATTATTTACTGAGTGAAGACATTAATATGTAAATGTTGTTTATTTGGAAACTAATTACAGAAATGGATTGATTTTGACAAAATGTTATTTAATTCAAGAGATTAAGTTAACATTTCTTTGATATCTAACAGTGTAAGATCAAAATAATTAACACAGAAGAAGAGCTTAAAAGATTCAAAAATAAATTTGTGAATGGATATTTTAATAAGTTTTTTCTAATTCTAATATTTTAATGAGTTTCTTCTAATTTCCTTTTAATTCTGATACAAAAAATATACAAAATATTTTATTATACGTGAAAATTATTCTATCTTTTTTCGATACAACTTGAGATCCTCGCGGCACAGACTTGCGAGAAACATGAAAGCATATTTAATAATCATTATTTCACTTCGTTTCTATCAGATGATTGATTCATCAGTATTGACCTACGCAACCCACCTTAACCGGATATATCTTATTTATCTTCGTTAATGTATTCCCCTATACGCTTCTAAATTCTTTGACCCATTTTTTGGAACATCTTTTATTTTCCAATGTTAAATACCACACTGAGAAAAAAATAGCCTAAATTTAAATAAATATTTATTTAAATACTGCCAACTAAACATTTACTTACAATAAATAAATATTTACTTAATAAAAAGTGATTGTAATAATAAGAAGTGATTGTTAAATCAAATTAATGTTTTTTGTACCGAATAAAGATATTTTTATATTTAATAAATATTTAGTTGGTACTATAAAATATCAAATAAATATTTATTGAAATTTAGGATATTTTTTTCTGAGTGCAGCTGTCTGTCAAAGGCTGTTTGGCCTAAATTGATAAAAACTAGATAGTACGCATGTCTAAAATCAGAATGTCTAGAATCTTAAAACGATTTTGGTCTAATTTTGCTCTAAAGTTATTCCATTTAACCATATTTTAAATTTATTAATGAAGTGAGAAAAAAATTTTCTAAATCTTAATAATATATTTTTCAATAATACTTTAATCTACTTACAGTAAATAGATATTTACTAAAAGACGATAGTTAAATCAAACTACTGTTCAAACAAACATTTATTAAAATTTAGTACATTTTTTTCGTATATTAATATCTGTTACTAAAGCACGATTAAAACATTAATGATAAGCAAAGCAGTCGAGAATTCAGGTTGTTCGCATTACGTACGAGATTGAGAAATGCTTGTGATCGTGGAAAAGTATATCCAAGAGGGATATCCGGGACGTCGAAGAGACAGAGGCTTGTGGGATTAGAAGACCGACACTCGGGAACTCAAAGTTCAAGGGGGACACGGCCGATCGGGCTTGACGAAACCTGCTCGACGGAAGACTGGGCAATGAATTGCGACGCGAACGTAATTGACGGGCGAGTGGACTGCCTCGAATGTAAACAACGTAAACGTGCGCACCTTCGCGATCGCGAGGTAGCGTTCTACAAGCCGCCGTTCGCCGCGGCGGTTCGTGTTGCACTGCCGCGCGAACTGCGAAGTCGTCGAGCCTCGTTACCTCCTAGGTAACCAACAGGCACCTAGACCGGTGCCTCCTGCTCTCACGTTCGAAACACGCGATCTCTTCGACCCATCAGTTAACGCGACCCGGTTAAGGACCTGGTTAGGGCGTCGCCACTCTTGCCCCAGTTATTAGCTAGAATAGATAGAGTCTCGCGAAGTGAATAAGTAATTAAGGACATCACGAGAACTTTAAAAATCGTGAGAGGAATATGTAATGCGAATTTAATGATCGTGCAAAAGAACATGACAAGGCGTAGGTTTAATTTAAAGGGCTGGTTAATTGGAACAGATCCTTCTCCTCTTTATTGATCAAACAAGTGTTTATTGTATATGTACCGCAATACGAATTACAGTTTATGCTTTAGTTTAACCTTCTTTGTTTCAATTTAGGGCAGTGCGAAAGGGAGAAGTTTTTTTTATTGCTTTGTTCAAGTGATTTGAATGACTCGGGAATTTATGTAATTGCACCACAATCGTTTTCGTATCGCAACTTTTCAATTAGGATTGCGTCCCAATTTTACTTTAAAGTGTAATAATAAACTTTATTATTATTATTATATATAGACGGATTTATTAAGATCATATATGTGAATACGCAACAAGTAAAAGTTTAATGCTTATTACGGTCGAAACTGGATTTTAGACGATTTTAAATAATTTCTATGTGAATTTATATACTAAATATGTAGTAATTTACACAGAAATTATTTAAAAGCATCTATAAGATTTGGCTTCGGCTGTAATATATGCATTAAACTCTTGTTAAAGTCTAATGGTTTGCATAAAAAAATTAAAGAAAAATGGAAAGACCTTTAAATTTTTTAATCATTATCTTCTTTGCTAAACAAGTGTCTATTGCGTTTATCTTATTTTTTTTTTTTTTTTAGGAAAAAGCTTTTATTGCCTGTAAATGATTTAAATAAAGTTGAGAATTTCTAATCGTATTTACAACTGTATGATCCTTTCATGGCATATCACAACTTTTCAATTGTGTTCTAATTTTGCTTTAAAGCGTTCAATATTTTGCATAAAAAATACTGGAAAGACAGATATGTTAATTTACAATTTTTTTTTACAAACTTCCATGCTGCAATTGGCCGCGATAGCACCCAACTTCTTCTTCAGCTGCACCCAATCGCAGACTCCGTTTTTGCAGCCTTCGATGGTCAAGGGATTCTCGTTTAGATAGAAAGCGACTTTAAAAGGAGCATCGCTCGAGTTGCATCTAATAGATATATTTTAAATATATAATAGTAAATAATATACTATATATGAAATAAAATGGATAAAAAAAGAATTATTCGGTCAAGAAAAACAACCAACAATAATGTCCCCCTTCGATTTTAGCAAACTTTGGATATGTTAAAATATAAATAAAAATAAGAAACACGTATTTTTTTTCTGTATTTAACACTTCCAAAATGTATTTAAATCGAAGGAAAGTGTTTTTGTAAGAAAGAACTAAAAATTAGAAGAACTGTTGGATTTGCGTGAGGATTGAAATTCTTAATATCAAGATTGCTTTTCTTAATTCTTTTTGAATTTCTCAATGCAATTCGTGAATATCGTAAAGTATCTTGGCGATGTTACCTGTGGAGGACCGCCGCAAAATTCGCGGCAAACGGCACTAACTGAGAGATCCTCCAATTTCTATAATCCATGTCTCGGAAGTTTGTGGCTGTGAGCGATACAGGATTTTGAGCAAATCCCATCGCGGTGAAGAACAACGTCATCATCTGCGAGTGCGTAAAGTAGAACACACCCTTCGGCTCGTCGCCATTCACCTCTAATTTCCTGTAGAATTTTAGTTAAAAAAAAAATATCAAAAAGAAAGCACTCAGATCTTTCGAAGGAACCATACGACACAGTTCTCCGAGTGATGGCCTGGCGACATCCATATAGGATGTCCTCTGGACATCCTTAGGATATCCTTTGAAGAATTGTGCTGTATGAAAAGTTTGCTTACGTGAAATGATCAATCATATCCCGGATGAGGTAACATCCTAGCTGGCTATTGATTTCCTCTCCTGGACCGCTATTGTAGTAATAAAAGAGATCTTCTTCGTACTCGAGAACTCGCATCTCATCGTCGGTGAACACGTAGCACCAAGGCGATGGTTTGTCCAGGTCCAAAGTTCTCTCGAAGCGACACGCGTCGTAAAATAGAAATATATCCTCTGAAATTATCATACTATATAATAAGAAATTACCTTATTGACAATAATTGGCAATTGACTTTTGATAATACTAGCCCGCGAATTTACACTTTTGGATCATTATCTGAATAAACTTTCATGTTTTTTAAGTGCCGAGCACGAATCCGTTTTTCAAATTTGACGATCACATCACAATTTTAAGAAAAATGACGTCAAAAGAGGGAGAAAACCATGATTTTGAGAGTTTTCACGACAATTGTTTCCTCGATAATAAATTTTTGTCTATATATAAATTTTGTTTGTAAAAATAAATAAAAAATAGTTAAAATTATTATAATTTTTTTGCAGGCAGTATAATTAATAATTTAAAAACAACTGATCTTCTGGCGAGTGATTATTCACCTTTACTGATGTTCAGGAGACCCAAACGCTGACTGACATTCGCCAAGACTTTTGTCATTTCCGGGCCGTTAATAAACGCTTTCACTTCCTTGTTAATACCCCTACTTTTCCAGGATGTACAATTGCTATACAGCTATTTTAAGTAATTAACATAAGAAGTAAATATTTGTGGCATACTTTCCTATTGTAACATTGTTCATGCGTTTCATGAGAAGAGAAAGAAAACTTAACAATTCATTGAGGACGTATTTCTAATCATTTAGACGTTTCTCGTTACATTGCACGGCAAGTAAAATTATGAGTAAAATTTTTAAACAAATTGTTATAAAAGAAATTGTATTAAAAAGGACTACGAGCCAAAGTAACAAATTTAATGTACGTAATATGATACAAATAACATTAAATAAAAATAAAAATAAAAATATGCCTACATTAAACTATTTGTTTGTACGTTGGTAGTAAATACCCACCGGCCGAAGTCTGGGGCCTTCGAGATATAAATTGTTATATCTGAAAAGGACTTTAACAATTAAAGATGGGGGGGACTTGATTTGTTAATTACCTTTAATAAAGTATCATTGATGATCGGCACTACTTCAAACTTGATTGATGTGTTACTGGAAGCTTCTCTTAAAAGAGGAATATGCTGCACGGTGATATTTTGTTGTATGTGCATCAATTCGATCTAGAAGATAAAAATAAAAAGATATAATGTCATTAAAACAAATCTATTTTTTTCATGCAATACTTTTACATCAATAAAGGATTATAAATGTGAAAGATGATCGTATTTTAATGATTTTACTGAACGATTGTATACTGTGGAAAGAAAAATACAGTACGAGCTTATTGGGGATAAATCGATTTTTAATTGACACACTTTAATGTTTTCTTAATGACATGTTGTTGGTTATAACGTATTATTAATATAAATTAAACCGATATTTGCTTTAATTGTTTTTACATACTGATGTGTTCCTAAAAAGATTATTCGTCTACTAAGCTGATTGAAACTTCCAGTCATGCGAATAACAATTCTCTAGATCGTTACTTCACTTGCCGTGTATTCTCATAGAAAGTATAATTTACGATTTATTAACATTACCATATGCAGTGAAGTGTCGTTTATCATTGGTAATATTTTTTTGAAACTAATGTTAAAAGCTCTTTCTACGAAGGATTTCATGCTTGCGATGGTGCGTTGCGTAGCCGTCGATCTAAACTGGAATATAAATGTCAGGTTGATAAAAGATTTATTAATTAATAGTAAGGGAGAGACTGGGGATAATTGCAACGTAGGTAAGTTGTAACAATGCGTATATCTTTTAAATGATAAGAGATAAGATGATCGTATGAAGAACAAAAATAATCGGTATCAAGACCTGCATCTGCCTCGTGTCATCAATCGCACGTGCGTCGCATGTAAAAGAAGTTATATGTATTGTGCTCAGACAAGCCACGTAAGTGTAAATTTACGATTTTATACTTTTTTGCTTTAAACTTTCGAATAAAATGCTTTTTATCATATTTTCATTTTCTTAATTCTAAAATACATTTTGTCAAGCTATAATGCATGTTTTTTTTTTATATTTTTAAGTAGATTCGAATATATTCATATAAATTTTGACAACATTGGTTTGGGGTTAAAAATACCGTATCGCTACATTGTAACATCATTAACGGTAAATGTTAAGAAGTCGTTCATCTCAAATTTTGATAAAAGTATATTGAGAATCATCGATACGTTTTCGCGTAACATAAAGATTAGACAAGAAAAAAGTGTCGCTCTGCTTCGTGAACTGAAATATTCTAATTAGTTAAAGTTGACGACTATTCAGATAGGAAATCTGTCACAGCCAAATACTGCGATGTGAGCACGCACATTTTTATGCTCTATGGTTACGTGCGAATGCGTTATAAGTACACTGTTAGAAATTTCTCAATGAATTTTAATTAACATGTAAAGGAAGCATGTGGTTATGCACGAAATTAAATGTAATGAATGATGTAAATAAAAACTAAATTACAGTAGTTTTAAATGTGATGAACATGTGTATTGAAATTAATGAACACATTATTATAGAAATTAATTTACACGTTAATGAAAAGTACAAGATCTGTAACTGAAAAGT